AAAAAACACGGGGGTGCTTAACTTTTTTCCAGGTGTATATATATAATCCCAGTTTTATAAAACAAGTGTTCATTAGTATATATTTTTCCATTATTAAATCAATACTTGAAAAACCTAAGAATTATTACAAATGATCAAAGATGCCATTGAGTTTTTTATTGATTAAGAAACCTATATATAAGACAATTGTTTGTATTTATCACTTATATATCATCACTAAAACAAATGATTAATAAAAATGTAATAGTACATATTTAACTATCTTTTTTTTTGCATTTTGAAAAGTACTGCAAAACCAAAGGTCATCATAATACTCACATTGGCAAGAATGACTAACTTTTCACACTGTTCATTTGTCAGCAGTCCATCAGCAGCAAACCTAAGTGTTCCATTAAGGTCTTTTTCTTGTAGAATCACTTGTATTTTGTTTGACTCTGTCCAAAACTGGATCTCCTGTGCTGATCTTTTATGATGTTCTTTTTTCATTCCCGTAGAACCTGTGTTGGTACTATTACTGTCAGTCTGCATGTTTTCCACGGCATTCTGGACTTCATCCCTAGATTCATTCTTCACGTATGTTTAAATACAAGATATAGATATGTATTCAAGACTGGCAACTTACATTCACAAAATTACTTACGATAATGATCATTAAAACTTTATCATTTGACTCAATATATTGTGATAAGTTTGGGCAATATTTCAATATCTTTCATTTAACCCTAAGGCTGTGATTATTGAGACTAAACTAACCACTGATATGAATCCACAATTAATGTAACAACTTAATTCCTGACCTACATATTACGCAAATTCAGAAAATTTCATAAAGGTCTTCTTGTAGTATGATAAAAAGACTTTACTTTCCTATCATTCTGCCTACACTACAAGCTAATCACAAAATTGTCTGACAAAATGCAATCAATATTAACTTACTAGACTCTTTGGTAAAGCCAGTGTTATAATCACTGCCTGGTAATAAGTTTTAGCACCTAAAAAACAATAATTACACAGCAACAGGTGCTGATAAAAAGGCTCAATTTTGAGGAAGAATGAATTGACTTATTAGTAGAATAAAGCTGCTGCTTAAGTAGGTGGACCATCCTGATTCAGATAATGTCTCAGCAAGAGTTTCAGTATATGTGTCCTCTGTGACATCTGTTTGTAACTAAGCCTTAGCTATTAGAAAAACAGTGTACCAAAGATACTACAATTTATTGGGTACAAAGTTTTATATTGTAAAATGTTAAAACAGTTTGTCTTTCAAAGCTATAACATCATACTGTATCTAAGGTCATTATTTACTTATGATTAATGTGATATGAAAAATTAAGAATATAAAGATATTTTATTCAGTGTCTGAATCCTGTTTTGAATGAGATAATAAAGTAGCTTCTATTGAAGGTTGTTTAAAACAGATTTTTGCATCTTATTAATTCAATATATCTGGATCCTTACTTGAAAGCTATCCCCATCTTGAAATATAAACTCATTTTCAATGAACTGAAGTAAACTTCTTTCTCTCTCTTGTTCGTGATATATATTCACAGTTTCCTAAATTAATAAATTTCAAACTACTTTAAACATTTTGAAGCATAATTTGGCAACAATTCACACACCAAAATACAGTAAAGTAACAATCTTCACTATTTAAATTTCTATATTGAACACCCAGACATAAATGTTAGATAAACCACACAACAAATCTTCAAAATATTTTCATAGAAATTACTCCATCATTTATTACTCTATTCTTGAATGACAATAGTTTTTAATTTATGTATATGTAGAGTACAATTAAACAGAAATACAAATATATTGAACAGTAAATTTAGTTTTGCAATAAAAAAATAACACTTACACATATACATTTCCATATATATATATATATATATGTATATATGTGTTGTGTGTGTGTGTGTGT